CCGGCCAATAGATTTTTTTTAGAAAAAAAAATCGTTAAAAATATAAAAAAAAAAATTATTTGTGAATTAGAGAGTTCTTTCCCGGTGCGTGAAGATTGTCCCGCTATTTTTTCGGATTTTTTTTCGAATTTTGTTCGAATTTTTGGTGTTTTTCTTTTATGCATTTTTTTTCGGTTTTTGTGTTAGAGTGATTTTTTTGATTGGGAGAATTCATCATTTTCTAAGAATTATAATTTTTTTTTAATGTTAAAAAAAATTAAAAATTGAATTTTTTTTTATTATTTTTTAATAAGGGCAAAAGAGTATTTTTTGGGTGTGGTGTTTATTAACACTCCTTTTAAAAAACGATCTTTCACAATATATATTATTTCGTTAAATAATTATGGAATAAGCATTCGAATGACATAGTATATATTAAGAAAATCCTTACTTCAATATTGTACCAAAAATAATATCGGTTTAACATATATCCATTGTATTAAAAATCGGCCTAGGCTGCTGCCTATGCTTTTAGCCGCCTCCGATTTGCATGAATTGGCTGAAAAAATCGGTCAGGCGGGCTCGACGATAATTTTTTAGTTTTTTCTATTATTATTTTAAATAGTAATTATATTATTTGTTTTTTTATAATGTATTAATATTATTATTCAGACATAGGTGTAGATTTATTATAAGTTGAGATGAGATAATTTAATTGATTTTGTAGGTAGTGAAAGAAAAAAAAAAAAAAAAGACATGTAATCTTAATTTTTAGGCCACACCTAAATGCTCTAAACGTTAGGCGCTGCTGAGTGCCTAGACTTTGATGAGAACGAAGGACGTGCCCTCAAAAACGCGTATAATCGGGCCCGACGAACTCACCTCAAGAAGATAAGGGATGAAGCAGCTACAGGTGCAACTTTCAGAATCGAGCAGGAGACCTCCACGGACGGTGCCACGCCGTGGGATATGCCGCGCCGCGGCGAAGTTCTTCTGTCACGCCGCGACGGCCTTAACGGGCAAACAGAGAAGTGGGCTTCTTCACCTACCACGCCGCGGAGATTCACGTGAAGAGCTTAGCGGGCCTTCAGAGAGGGAGGGAGACCATCTTCATCACGCCGCGGGAGAATCCACCTACCACGCCGTGAAGCCTCAACGCGCCGCTGCACCTGAAGATCGTGGTTGGGAGCAGCAGCTTTATTCAGTTTTTAATTGCAGTTTTCTTAATTTTTTCTTTTCTTTTCTTTTGGAAACCGTAGCAGGAAGTAGGAACTATTAATGTTCTGTATTTTCATATTTGAAGACTTATCTTTTTTATGCAATGACATATCAGAAAATCGCTCACTTTTGGGCACCAAATTCGTGTCAACCGACGGCCATTTTGGTGCGGGTTACACATTTTCGTTTATTTTTCTATACATGATCGTAACATTGGTGCTTTCATAGAGAGAACACCGATCGTGTATCTATGTCTAATCGAGAAAGAATCGATCGATTGGAGGAGAGTGTACGTTCGATCAACAATGACGTACAGTCGACAAACTAAGTGATCGCTAGGATCGAGAGGATGATGCTTCAAAATGTAGCCCGACAAGCCAGGAAGAACGATTCCGATTCTTCGTCTGATGGAGAATCATATGCAAGCACGAAAGCCGGATTTCATAACGAGATTGCGGGTGAAGAAGACAACCGTTCGAAGGGTTCAAATCATCAGGAACGCCGTAGGAGCGAAAGACCTAAGGTTTGTTTACCCACATTCAACGGAACGGATCCCGATTCATGGTTAAATCGAGCAATTCAATATTTTGAAATCAATAAGGTATCGAGGAAGGATCGGGTAAAAATCGCTGCTTATTATCTCGACGGAGAAGCGAATGTGTGGTGGAGATGGCTATCGAGGTTTGGCGAGTCAAATTTTCACGACTTTGACGAAGCTCTTTCCCATATCAAACATGTCGGGAGTATACGTGAGTACCAGAAAGAGTTTGAACGTATAGCAAGCGTTCATGATTGGCCGGAGAGTGCATTGGTTGGAGCATTTGTAGGAGGTTTGAAGGCATAGTTAGCGGCTGAGGTAAGATTGGAGAGGCCGAGGACAATGCGAGCAGCCATGGAGGTCGCTCGAATACGAGATGATCACATAATGGTCATGCGTAAAGCATTTCGACTGGAGGTACGACGTCCACTTTCTTTTCCTACTAATGTACCGAGAACCGAGCCCGAAGCAATGAAAAGGAACTTGAGGACGGTACCCGTCGGAGTTAAGAAACTATCGTGGGACGAGATGCAACAACGTAGGGAGAAAGGATTATGTTTCAATTGCGATGAGAAATTTGTTCCGGGACATAGGTGCAAGAGTAAACAATCATTTCTAATTGAAGTGGTATAGTCGAAAGAGGAAGAACAAGGAAAGGAAGAACCGAAATATGACACGGACCCACACGAAGATGATCCAGAAATTTCTTTACATGCTATGGCGGGAACACAAGGTCCAAAGACCATGAAGTTACCGGCTTGGGTTCGGGATCGAAGGGTGGTCGTTCTAGTCAACAATGGCTCGTCTCACAACTTCATTAATTCATCTTTATCCAAAAAATTGAACTTGTCAATGACCAAGGTGGAACCATTTGAAGTTAGGGTCGCAAATGGAGAACGGCTAAGATGTTCGGAATCCTTTCAAGGCGTATCAATTAAAATGCAGAGTGTGACAGTGAAGGCCGACTTATATACACTACCCTTGGTTGGACCGGATGTTGTCCTAGGAGTTCAATGGTTGGAAGGATTGGGACATGTTACTACGGATTATAAGGCGGGCACTATGGAGTTCCGTTGGGGTGCCAATTTGGTCAAGTTGAAGACCGGTATACACGAAGGGTCAAAGGAGGTGAGTCTTAAGAGCTTGGAAAAATTGTGGAAAGGAGGTAATCAAGTGTTTGCGATCAAGATGCTTGTGAAACATGAGGAAAATGTAGATGAAACTGCTTGGCATCAAGAGGTAGATGAGCTACTTCAACAATTCGATGAAGTAAGGGTCGAACCTAAAGGGCTTCCTCCACGACGTTCCTTCGATCATCACATTCCTCTAAAAGATGAATCGAAGGCGGTGCATGTTCATCCCTACCGTTATGCTCATTTTCAAAAAACTGAGATCGAAAAACAAGTCCGTGAGATGCTCGAGTCTAGGTTGATTCGACATAGCACAAGTCCATTCTCTTCACCGGTGCTACTGGCCAAAAAGAAGGACTGGACTTGGAGGTCCTGTACAGATTATCGAGCTCTGAATGCCGCTACAATCAAGGATCATTTTCCAATTCCTAGCATTGATGATATGTTGGATGAACTAGAGGGATCCCAATATTTTTCCAAGTTGGATCTACGAGCGGGATATCATCCAATTCGAGTGGCGGAGGAGGACATTCCTAAGACGGCATTTCGTACCCACCAAGGACACTACGAATATTTACTCCATCGACTTTTCAATTTGCTATGAATTCCATATTTCAAGATTTCCTACGCAAGTTCGTTTTGGTATTCTTTGATGATATTCTAGTTTATTCGAGAAATTGGAATGAACATTTGGAGCATTTACGGGTGGTATTGAAAATTTTGAAGGATAATGATTTCCATATAAAGCCTTCAAAATGCTCGTTTGGACAGAGGTCGGTTGAATACTTTGGGTCATATAATCTCTTATGAAGGGGTGAAAGTGGATCCTATGAAGATTGAGGCGATGCAGGGATGGCCAAAACCGAAGAATGTGACGGAGATGCGAGGATTTTTGGGGCTAACGGGATACCATCGAAAGTTCGTTAAAGATTTTGTATCGATTGCCAAGCCTTTGACGGAAATGACTGAAAAAGGCGGGTTCAAATGGTCAACGGCAAGTGAAGAGGCATTCAAAAGACTAAAGAAAGCTATGACCACTACTCCCGTTCTAGCTATGCCGAAGTTTGATATAATGTTTGAAGTGCATACCGATGCAAGTGATATTGGAATGGGTGCGGTTCTTATGCAAGAGGGTCGACCTATTGCTTATTTAAGCAAAGCTTTGGGAAAGACACGAATAGGGTGGTCGGTTTACGTGAAGGAGCTAATGGCGGTGGTAGAGGCAATTCGAATTTGGAGACCTTATCTCTTAGGACGACACTTTCAGATTGTGACAGATCAACAACCGCTTAAACATCTTTTGGAGCAACGCATCGTGACACCGGAGCAATAGAAATTCATATCAAAGTTGATGGGATTCGACTTTGAGATTTGCTATCGACCGGGGCGCTAAAATTTGGTAGCGGATGCATTATCACGTCATACCGAAGTTGCCGAATTACAGTCCATTCCCGGACCAACTTGGGAGATTTGGGAAAAACTACGGGAAGCACACGTGGACGATACGTTTTGTGTCGAGGTCCGTAGGATGATGGAAGCACAAGATGAGACGGCTCAAGACTATGATGTGTATGAGGGGCTGTTGTTATTCAAAGGGAGAGTTTATGTACCGGAAAGTGAGGAATTGAGGGCCAAGATCATTAGGTACTTTCATGAGTCCAAGATCGGAGGACATTCGGGTATCTACCGTACATGGGTGCGAATAGCTAACACTTTCTATTGGCTGGGACAGAAAAGTGAAGTTCGGGAATATGTGATGAAGTGCGACGTTTGTCAAAGGGTGAAATCGGATTCCCGAAAACCGAGTGGATTATTGCAACCTCTACCGGTACCCGAGCGTATTTGGGAAGATATTTCTATGGACTTTATTGAAGGGCTACCGAAGTCGAATGGATTTAATGGAATAATGGTGGTGGTGGACCGACTCACCAAATACGCACATTTCGTCCCACTTACACACCCTTACACGGCAAAATCCATAGCCAAGTTGTTCGTGGAATACATCGTTAAATTGCACGGGGTACCTTGATCTATTGTTTCTGACCGGGATCGAATTTTCGTGAGCAACTTTTGGAAGGAATTCTTCAAGATGCACGATACCGAGTTGGCAATGAGCTCGGCGTATCACCCTCAAACGGACGGCCAAACGGAGGTAACAAATCGTACAATGGAGCAATACCTTAGGTGTTACGTCCATCAATTTTTAAAGAGATGGGAAGAGTTACGGCCATATCGCCAACAAACGGTTTTGAAGAATGCTTTGTATAAACTCGGAAGTCGCTTTTATGGGCCATATCAAATCAAAGAACGAGTGGGAATGGTAGCTTATAGGTTGGATTTACCGGCAGAATCACAAATCCATCCCGTCATTCACGTGTCTCAATTAAAGAGGAGCCTAAAATATCCAGGAAGTTCAAACGAGGCTACCTGATGTGGGTCGAGAAGGACAATTCATAATACGACCTAGTCGGGAATTAGACTATCGAAAAGTAAAGAGAGCTGGGCGATTCCGTTGGGAGGTTTTGATCGAATGGGAAGAGTTACCCGGAGAAGAAGTAACATGGGAAAATATTCAGGACATACGTAATCAATTTCCGGACTTTATCCTTGAGGACAAGGATTACTTGAAGGGGACGGGAATGATGAGAACGAAGGACGTGCCCTCAAAAACGCGTATAATCGGGCCCGACGAACTCACCTCAAGAAGATAAGGGATGAAGCAGCTGCATGTGCAACTTTTAGAATCGAGCAGCAGACCTCCACGGACAGTGCCACGCCGTGGGATATGCCGCGTCGCGGCGAAGTTCTTCTGTCACGCCGCGACGGCCTTAACTGGCCAACAGAGAAGTGGGCTTCTTCACCTACCACGCCGCGAAAGAGAGCACGCCGTGAGACCTCGCCATCGCCACGCCGCGGAGATTCACGTGAAGAGCTTAGCGGGCCTTCAGAGAGGGAGGGCGACCATCTTCATCACGCCGCGGGAGAATCCACCTACCACGCCGTGAAGCCTCAATGCGCCGCTGCACCTGAAGATCGTGGTTGGGAGCAGCAGTTTTATTCAGTTTTTAACTGCAGTTTTCTTAATTTTTTCTTTTCTTTTCTTTTAGAAACCGTAGCAGGAAGTAGGAAGTATTAATGTTCTGTATTTTCATATCTGAAGACTTATCTTTTTTATGCAATAACATATCAGAAAATCGCTCACTTTTGGGCACCAAATTCGTGTCAACCGATAGCCATTTTAGTGCGGGTTACACATTTTCGTTTATTTTTCTTTACGTTTGATACACGATCGTAACAGACTTCTAGAACACTCCACATCAAATGGATTTACATGTACATAATATTAAAATAAAATGTTTTAATAAAACTAAAAACTCGACAAACCCAACACGTGTATTTGTACGTTTATAAACACCCATCACACACATTCACTTTCCAAAATAACAACAATGGAGTTTATAAACCACGCGCTCATCCTCTCGTTGCTGGTCGCACTCGCGGTCGCCAAAAATCATTCTCCGGCGCCGGCGGTGGACTGCTCGGAGATCGTGGTGAAGCTCTCGGACTGCCTGAGCTACGTGGCCGCGGACAACACGACAAGTGTCCCGAGCGCCTCGTGCTGCCATGGCCTCACAGACGTGCTGAGGGAAGGAGTCGAGACGGGCGGCCGATGCCTGTGCGAGTCTTTCAAAAGCAGCCGTGATATGGGTTTAGATCTCAACATGGCAAACGCCGTTGCTCTGCCATCCGCCTGCAGGGTCAACACTTTCTCTGTCAACAATTGTCGCCGTAAGTTNATTCATATATGGTGATTTTAATTTTTATGTTCGCTTGCATTTTTAGGGGGAAAGGTATTTGTTTTTTTTGTTTTGGATATTAAATTAATTTGTATTTCACTCCCTCCCCTGTTTCAACAATTGTTCATCACGTTTTCCTCGATTTTTATCTACCCCCTATAAATTAATTGCATTTATTACAACTTAATTTAGTTTGTTGTTCTGTTTTGCATTCTTTTGCGTAAAGATTTTTCTCTCTGCTAATCTTTGGTATGTTTGTGCTAGAAATATCCATTGTAACTCGAATTTTTACTCTCTTTTGTTAACAGTTGGACCTGCTGGCGCCCCTGTCCCTGGTAAATAACTCTCTCTCTCTCTCTCTCTCTATCTCTCTGTAATGAATTTTCATTTATATATGTGAAAATTTTCTCTTGATATCGAACGTGCTCTTAGTCATGGCTCATGATCCCATTGTAAACTAAAACAATGGAGAGATTATAAAGAAAAACGAAATAAAATAAAATTTGAAAGACAGATTATGTGTAAAGAGTGTTAATGATTAACATTTTTGATCGGTTTTTGTCTTATTGTTGATTAAAGCATATAAAACCGGTNCATAGTTGATGTAATGATGTGTAGCTTATAATACAGCTGTCCCTCCATCACCTGTACATCAGAGTCCACTCATCGTGAATGCAGCCAATCAACTATCCCCGTCCCCTTTGCCTGCCATGTCAGCATCATCCATTCTGCCTGCATCACTATACTTTTCCATTCTTACAGTTTTTATTTCCATGTGCCTTAATTCATTACATTGAGATCATCAGTTGCGTTAATTTATTTATTCACGGACTTTTGTTGTGTTTGATGTTCGTTTGTATTGTAAGTTAGCGGTGTTTTAGATATTTAGGTATGTTGAGGGTGCTTCGGTTCTAATTTGATTTGGAGCTAACTATATTCTTGTTACACTATGATTTCTGGTTTTAGTTTACTTGTTGGCAACTCTTTTCTTCTGATGGTTAGTTAAATATGATGCTTATCTTGTCAAGTATCATTTCATTTGTTTATAACAAAACATACATGTGACTGTGTTTATTATACACAATGCATGTTGAGTTAATCAAAGAACTTACTATACACGATACATGTTGTTGCCTTGAATGGCTACCAAGGGACTTGGTGGAATAAAAATGAATTATTCAGTTCTAACAATTTCATTTCCCCATTATAGAGAAGGGTTTTTTCTCGTTTGCACATGCGTTGTAGATAAAGCGTAGAGATAAATGTCTCTATATATTAATTCAGAACGTGTTGACCCTAAGTGTCAGGCTCGCATGACTACCAAGGCAAAATTACATGCTTCGTCATTAGGTTTGGATAGATTTTAATTTACTTCGAAACCAAAAATTATTAGGTTCGAATTATCCATAAATATGTTGATTATTTATAGTTATGGTATATCTATTAATTGCATTTTTATATCATTTCTTATTATAACCATTGAATTGTAAATATATTTTAAAAGTTAATAACTTTTGAATTTTTTATCAGTTTTACATATATAATATATCAAATTAATCCTCTCTTGATGACCTTCGATTTAACATCTATATTGTATGTATAAAAAAAATAAATTATATTTATCTATACAACAATAATAAAATTATTTTCTAATATTCATTAAAAAAAAATATTTATCAATTAATATATTTATATTTCAAGTAGTTATATGATATAAGTTAAAAATTACTATAATACAACACATGTAAGTTGCACAAGTAACAAGTGTCATTCTAAAATATATAATAATATATATTTTTATAAAAAAAGTAAATAAAATTTAAAATAATTTTTCTCATTAATTTTAAAATTTAAGAATAATTTTTAACAAGCACCCGTGTAATACACGGGTGTTGTACTAGTGTATTCCTTATTAACGAAAGAAGAATATGATATTGAAAGCAATATGAAATATGAATCCTCATATTTCATATCTATATATATATATAAAGGTTTGATTATTTTTTAAATAGTAACTATTTTCCTCCGAAAAAAATCTATTTACTATTTGTAGAAATTAATTTAACAATTTATGCTATATATCAAATTAGCACTTATGGAAATTGCGGCTCATTTTTTAATGAAGTAGTTAAGTCATATTTTAAGGTACCTTAATTACTCAAATCATGTGAAACTAGTACGTAACCCGTGCGATGCACAGGATGTAAAATTTAGAAGAATAATATAATCTCACGTGCATTAAGATCGAAATTGAAATCATTAAAATACATAGGAACATTGTTGAATCATAAAAAGTTTGGTAACAATCATAAATTATTAAAAACCTCCTTGTACACAACATTTTGAGTTTGATTATTTGGTAACTCCTCATTATCACAAACTAATATTTTCAACCCCCTTCTATTATTTACACGCGAAGCAGCAACATATAATTGACCGTGACTAAAAACAGGTTTCTTCATGAAAAGACCAACGTGCGATAAAAAAAGAGTTTTTAAAAAAAGAGTTTTTAAAAATTGAAAAGTCAAGGCAATCAGTTCAGATTAATTAAAGGTCAAAGAATATCCGCTCCTTGAAATAAAGACGTGTGCTATCATTAACCAAATATCCGGTTATTGATATAGAGTGGTTACCAAAAAATAGAACGCGATAAGGACGCTTCATGAAAATATCAATGGGATAAGGTCATAACATATTGCTATACATTTTAACGATAAGAGTTCATATGGAATGATTTAATTAAATGTGTGAAAATGACATAATTAATGAGAAGTGTGAAAAGGACATAAGTAATGAAAAGTGTGAAAAGGAAAAAAACTTACCGGTTTTGGAAAATATTTAATGCAAATCCGACATTGACCATAATTTGACCTACTATTTTGGATAAATGTTAATTCTTATTATATAAGTATAGATAATTAATATATGGTATAAAGTGGACAAATTTATTTATTGATGGTTGTTTCTATGGGAAATAAATTAATCAATATATGGTAAGCAAATTTCTTTAAGTTATTTGATGAATGTTTTTTGGTAAGAAAATTGTTGAAAAATTAATCAATGTGCGATGTACTTTTTTCTGTAATGCGTAGGCCAATATATTGGGTTTTAGGCGTGCGTTTCAATTTTGTTTCAATTTTTCGTATGAAATTAGCATAATAAAAAATTACCGTAATTCTGGCAAAATAATATGAACGGATATTTTGATATAATGTGCGTGTATCGATGTCTTTTTATAGAAAAAGCTCTGCTCATTTTTTTTTTTTTTGTCGATTTAATTCATTTTTTGTTACGACATTTCAAATAACTTTTGTGTGAAACGCACTATTCATTTTTTTTAGCATGATAAAGAGTGTCGATTTTTTGGCATAAAAATTTTATGACTGATTGTTTTTACTCAACTACTTAAATTTTTTTTATTTGGATATTTTATACAAAAATAAATTCGTTTTAATTAATGAAACAATATAAGTTTTATATCTATACTTATTATTCATATAGGTTTTTAAATATATGATAAAAATTTATCAAAATAATTATTTTATGGAATCACATTATAGTCAAATAGAATTTTTGAATAAAAATTTTGATATGACACATATTTTGAAACGAATATAACGTGATTTATTATCAGTTATGTGCAATGCACGGGTTGTGTACTAATTTTAAATAGACATTTTTATGTAATTTTGCACAATCTAAATTTCATATAACATTTTTAATAAATTAATATAGGTACATTGTATTACATATTAATTATATGTTTTTAATTTATAAATATTATGTAATGAGAAGTTTTAATTTATAAATACTAATGAACATCTCGGGATTCGTACTAGTAATTAAATAAATAAAATAAATAAAGAAATAAAATAGTAAATACAGAAAATATTAAAAGGTTTAAATGAGTTACAAACGGTGAATTTGAATTATAAGTTTCACTTTTGGTTTGGTAACTAATGATTTCCGCTTGAATCTTTTTTATAATTAATTAAATATTTTTTCTTCTCTAGAATAATACAACTTTTATTGTTTCTGGTGGGTTAAAATAAATGGATTTGAGCTTGATCGAATATTAAATTACAAATGATATTTTAACTTTAAATATATGAATTAAGTTGTCTACATACTCATTCGCCTTGAGAAACTAATTTTAGCTTATTTTACTTGCCTTTTAAGTGTGGGTGGCCGACATGATGGTGCTAATACTAGACTACTATTGTTGGCATCAAAGTTGTTGCTCGACCCAATTTTGAAAGTAGTACTATTGTAGTACTGTTTCCGTCCGAATCTTCATTTTTGTTTTCGAGCTCTTCTATGAGTGTTTGTATTTGTCGTTCCGCATTCTTTTTTCAATTATTATATAACTTTGGTTGCCTCCAATTTTTTTTGGTGTTAATTGTGATAGTATACCCTTCTAAGCTAAAACCATGTTGTACCAAAATAGTAGAGGCCGGGATGATTAATATCTCTTAGACCATAAAATGTAATTCGGCTGAGTGTTATTTTATATTGGGTTATATCATTGTTATGTAACTTTGGACTTTAAGCATTTGGGCCTGTAAATATGTTACTATTAGCCCTTGGTATAAATAGGTAGATTAGGGTTTGAGACTTCACTTTTCTTCTTTCTTCTTTTCCGTTTTCTCTCTCAACCTCACAAACTCTCTGTAATCTTTCCTCTCGTGTTCATCTATGATAATAGATATTTTGATGTTTTGTTCATATTTCTATTGTAATATGGTATCAGTTTTCGGGATCTATCCTCGATCCGTTTAGATTTCCGTTGCTCATATATTTTTTTCTCTTTGTCGCTTGATTTTTCGATTGATTTTTACTTGCATTTCATCGATCTGTTCTAATCTGTGTCGATCTTTTCTCTATCTTACGGATCTACTCCGATTAGTTCCGATTTTCTTGAATCGATATTCGCTCTTACATAGTTCTGTCCTGATTTGTTCGCGATGTCTCATCCGACCGATGATCCGTTGTCGCCGTACTACTTACATGCCAGTGACAATCCCGGTGCCGTTATTGTTGCCGATTTATTCACCGGAGATAACTATGTAGCTAGGGCTGTGACGATGGCCTTGAGCGTGAAAAATAAAGTAGCCTTCATTGATGGCTCTCTGGTAACCCCTAACCCTTCTACTCATCCTACTGATCACAATGCTTGGATTCGTGCTAATAACTTGGTACTTTCTTGGATTTTGAACTCTGTTTCTAAAGATATTCATTCATCCTTACTCTTTTTCTCTAATGCTCAACATGTTTGGGATGAACTTAAGTCTCGTTATGCAATTAGTAGTGGTCCTAGGGTTTTTCAACTTGAGAAACCATTAAGTACCATGGATCAGGGTTCTCAGTCTATTACTCGGTATTACACAGCATTCAAATCATTGTGGGATGAATACATCACATATAAACCTGTTTTTAAATGTGTTTGTGGTGTTATGACTCGTTGTACCTGTGCTATCTTTGATTCTATGACTCTTGCTCAACAAAATGATTCTGTCATGAAGTTCCTTATTGGTCTTAATGATTCTTATGCTCAATTGAGAAGTCATTTTTTGCTTACTTCTCCTTTGCCATCACTTTCAAAAGTTTATTCATTGTTGTTACAAGAAGAGAGTCAAAGATGCTTACAAACTAATTCAAAATTGTTTGAACCTGCTGCAATGAATGCCAAAACTTCAAAATATTTTAAACCTACTGATTCCAAAGACAAAAAGAAGTTTAAATGCAATCACTGTGGTTACAATCATCCCACTGAGAAATGTTATCAAGTTATTGGCTATCCATTCAATTGGATTGGTCTCAAAGGCCCCAGAATCCACCATTCTCTCCAAAATTCAAACACCAAACCCTCAGTTAACTTTGTCATAACCAATTGCCCCACTCACACTACCAATTACTCCACTCAAACTACCAATTACCCCACTCAAACTATCAATTACCCCACTCAAACTACCAATTACCCCATTCAACCTGCCAATGTTAACAAGTCTATGACTGACAAACTTTTTGTTGAGTTTCTTGAATAAAAAAATACTAACTAGGGAAAGGCTCAGGTTGAGTCCAACCCAACTGTTGCCACTGTTCACATAGAACAGCCAGGTACATTTTCATTAAACTGTCAGTCCATTTCATCTTTTTCCAAAACCACTTAGATACTTGATATAGGTGCTACAGATCATATGGCCTGTGATATTTCCTTCTTTTCTAAACCACCCACCCCTACATCCATCAAAAT